CTGGCGAGCGAGCGAGCAAAACAAAATCTTTAAGTAACGTTTGGTATATAAACTGGTATTGTTGCAAGTTGGGGGTGGGAACATTCACTTGTTAGCGACGTTAATTTAATTTTTTTGCAAACGAGTGTAGCGAGCAAGAAAAAAAATCACTTGTTTTTTTAAGAATTGCCACTTAAACTTGGTTCAATTGTCCCATGCAGGGCGCGGGAACAATATTGTGTTTAGGGTGATTTTATACCCATTTTAGCTAGCGAGCGAAAATACATCTTTCTCTCAATGAATTGCTATATAAAATTTGTTTCATTGTTGCAGGTAGGGGGCGGGCACAATCGTGTTTAAGGCAATGTCAATCCCATTTTGGCGGGCAGGCAACCCCCTACATTTCTCTTTTTAATGATATTGTAGCAGGTTAGTGGTGGGCACATAATTCCACGAGCTAGCGAGCGTAGCGAGCGAAAAAAAAAATCACTTCTCTTTTATAGGGAAAATATTGTACATAAAACTTGGGTTCATTGTTCCATGTCAGGGACGTGATTATTAAAAGCGGTGTTATTTCTATTTTGGCGAGCGAGCGTAGCGAGCGAGCAAAAAAAAATCACTTCTCTTTTATAGGGAAAATATGGTATATAAACTTGGGTTCATTGTTCCATGTCAGGGACGTGATTATTAAAAGCGGTGTTATTTCTATTTTGGCGAGCGAGCGTAGCGAGCGAGCAAAATTTTTGTAATGATAATTGGTTCATAAATTTCAGATTTTTTTGTTGCAGGGCAGGGCTTACACAATCATGTCTAAGGTGATGTTAATTCCGTTTTGGCGAGCACGAACACACCAAAACTTCTTTGAATAACGTTTGGTACATAATTATTAAGTGGTTGTTGCAGGTTGGGGCGGGAATGTTAGCGGTGTCAATTCCATTTTGGCGAGCGAGCATAGCGAGCAAGCAAAAAAAAAAAATTCTCTTTTAATAAAAATTAATAAATAAACTTGTTTTTATTGGTGCAGGTCAGGATGGACGCAATCGCGTTTAACGCGATTCAATTCCTTTTTGGCGAGAGGGCGAAAAAACTCTCCCATTTTTAATGATATTGTTGCAGGTCAAGGGTGGGCACAATTGTTTCCAAAGCAATGTCTATTCATTTTATTCGCGAGCGAGAAAAATGAATTAGTCTCTTTTAGTAACATTTGGTACATATATTGTGTGTTATTGTTGCCATGGTTGCAGGTTGGGGCCCGTCGGGGCAAGCACAATTGTATTCTAGGCAATACTAATCCTTTTCTTTTTTCAGGGGGACGAGCAAGTGAAAACATTTAATACAAAATAGGCTAGCAAGCAGTTCTATCACTTATATTTTCCTATTTTCATTTGTTTTAATTTTTCAGGGCCGTATGCGGAATACTGCCCCCCCCCCCTTGGTGCGTACGGCCATGGTCTTTTTTTTTTTTTTTAATTTCCCCATTTTTATTCCTTTCCTTTTCTTTTCCCTTTTTCTTCCTTTTCTCTTCTTCTTCCTTTTTTCTTTCCTTTTTTTTCCTTTTTTCTCTTTCTTTCCTTTTTTCTTCCCTTTTCCTTTTTTTCTTCTTTCCTTTCCTTTCTTTTCTTTTCTTTCCGCTTTTTCTTTTTTCCCCTGGAGCCCGTCAGGGGGGGGGGGGGGGCACTCTGCCCCCCCTGCCCCCCCCCATAGGTACGCCAGTGTTGGCGATGTTAAGCTAATCCTGTCAAGTTGTCAACAATCCAAAAGGACGCATGCGAAGTGGCGTAGCGCGAAACCCGATATGAGGGGGCACTGACTTTCGATTCAATTTAATTTGTATTTATTTAATTTCCAACAGAAAGATAAACAAAGGTATTACAGATGTTATTACAGAAAGTATGAACAAAAATGTACGAACATATTCATTGTTTATCTTGATTAGTATACAAATACACTTGACACATTATAAAATTATTACAAGAAATTCATAATTTCTGGGGAGGTGGGAGGAATCCACTAAAAAGCAGTGTTTGTAGTTTGTGGATCCCCCACAAGGGGGTCTGGGGGTCTGGGAATGATTCGTAGTGTATTTGTTGTATTAATGTTGTCTTTCCTCCTCTCGCTTTCCATTTCTTGATCCTTTTAATTTCTTTTCCACTTTTACTTTCTTTTCCTCTTTTAATTTCTTTTCCTCTTTTCTTTTTCTTTCTATTTGTACCTGCGCCTGAAGTAGCTTCGCCGTGGTAAACTCGGTTTAGCTCTAACAGCCCCCTTCCCTTTTCTCTTCTCCATTTCCTCTCTTTCTTTTCTCAGTCTTTTCGACATTTTAATAAGTCGGGAGGGGGGGGCACGTGTCCCCATATAGTCACTTTGGAGCTGTTTTTATAGAGCTAACACTACCTCATTCCATTTCCCCTTCTCCCTCTTATCTCCCCCTCTTTCTCTCTCTTTCTCTTTCTCTTTCTCGCTCACTCACTCACTCACTCATATATTCTCTCTCTCTTCCTTTAATTCTTTTTCTCTTCATTTTCTGCTATTTCATAGCCGGGATTGGGGCACGTTCTCCCCTATGGCCCCCGTAGCTTCGCCACTAGACTCACTTTAATAAAACAACCTCCTCCTTCCATTGTTGTCCAAATTATTGGTCCTGTTCGCTCATCCTCTTAAAGAAAGGGAAAGTACAGAGTACCAAGCAGGGGGTATAGCTTGCCTGCAGCGAGCTGCGTGGAGATTCTGTTTTCGTGGCGTGTTTTGTGCGAAGTCTCTCGGAAAAAAAGCCCGTTAGAAGGATTATAATTAGCATACGAATGGACCGTTATCAGCACATAGGAGGGCTTGCTCTGTTGAGACGAATCCCCTTGGCTTACAGGGTGTTTCAAAATAACATGCATGGTTACAGGAACGGGGGTATGCAACGTACAAATATTGCATAGCTGTTTAGTCATTAAGCGAAAAGCGATAACACTTTTCATGTAATTCATTCTTTTTCTTGCTTTCGACAATGTGTCATCTAAACTAAACTTTTGTTCGCCCCCCCCCCCAAAAAAAAAAATGTGTTAAAAGTGCAAACCGGTACAATTTTTAATACACCATGTATTAATAGTTTCTAAAAATTCTTCTGAAATATTGGTGAGTGTCTTAAAAAAGACGGATATCCAGATTTTTCGCAACATAATGTTCATAGCCCTAGGGCTATAATTTAAAATTAAAACAAGTAGATAAGAAGAAAAAAAAATCTTGAATTAAAGAAGAGTAATGAATATTCAGGATAGGGAGGGGGTGATAATACAAAATCAAACGGTAACAGCTTGGGCTACTCATTCAATCCCCCAAGAAATTAATGGGTGGGGCATCTACCCTTATTGCGAGCATCAGTACAATGAGACGGACAAACAAATAAATACATTAACGCCCCCCCCCCCAAAAAAAAAGGGGGGGGGAGGGGGGAAAGGAAGAAAGGAGATTGAATCAGGAAAATCAAAAACAAATTATCAAGAAATTAGAAAGAGACGAGGGTTACATCTTCCGAAAGATATATATATTATATATAAAGGGACGAAAATAAATCAATGTCTGTCTCGTAGGCCTTTGGGCTCTTGAACCCTAAACCCTCTAAACGTTGAAAGAATGCCTAAGTGAGAACGATAATGATAGTCTTGCTTTCTGTCGGTCTCATAGGCTGTGACTGCCATACAAATTTAGAAAGGGCATCTATAAGTTTATAAATGCCGGTCTCAACTTTTCGATAATTAACTTGAATGTTATTTTGGTGATTCTATAGCATTTCAAATATGTATGCGCTTGCTGATCAGTGTCAACACGCAATCAATGAATATTTGAATGAATATTTTTTTTCAATAAACCTGTCCGTATTTATTGACATTCTGGTCATAAGAAACGATAGATAAGGCCTAAAATAAAAACTTGTTGTATTGTCCTTTGCGACCTACCCAAAAATCTGAAAATCTACGGTCGGCATTTAAAAAAAGATTTAAAAAAAAAAAAAATTATAGATTTTTTGAATAAAAAAATATGTATGTTCAATACAACAAGTTCTTTTTTTAGGCCTAAATAAAACTTATTTCAACTTCAAAACACTCTATTAAAGGTAAAGACCAGTTATGGTCATGCGATTGCATTGTGAAAGAAACGTTGTGGAATCGATCAGAAAAGGTTGATCATCTAGCATCTAGAATCTGCAAGGTTCTGGAATCATCAAAATGATAAGAAATTTGGCCCATTCTTCGTAAAGTTACAAGCGCTATACACAGAAAGATGTATATGGGACTACCCTATATCTCTCACAGACCATGAGAGAAACAAATTTACCAAATATATGAATTAGTAGACGGTTTCCCGGCAAATTTGTTATCATCATGTATTAGTCAAAACATATTCTTTCACATGATTGGTAATGAGAGCTTCCATTTCATATTTTTGAAATTGGGGCGTTTCCAATACTGGTCTTTACCTTTAATATATATATATAATATATATATCTAGATGAGAGCTGGAATAAAGAAGAAAATAGAAAGTGTGAAATTTGGCTCAAGTAAAGGAATAAGAAATATTTTGAGAGAAATATCATAAAGCAAACTATTACGCAGTTTGTGGAATAATGAAATAAAATAGCTTAGTTTGAAGACGTTTGATGAAGTTCAGAAAAAAAATAAAAGAAAGAACGACGTAAGGGAAAAATGCAAAAACTAATACCCGAATATTCAGAAGTTTGCGAGTGAAAAATGTGAAGAAAATATCATGTATATACCTATTCTTACATAGTTAGTACTGACGTAATGAATTAGAATAGCTTCATAATATAGATATCTAATACGCTCCAGACATTTTTTTATGACGCACTCTGTAGTGCATCTGAACTCTGAAGAGCATCTATACCTGGTATTACGGATACCAGCCTCTTCGCGATGCGCTGCATGCAATGTCCAGAGCTCCTTCTTCCGTTCCTTCAGAGCGATAGCTTGAAGAGCGCCGCCGCTGCGTTGTGTAATGGGGTTGCATTCATACACACAATAGGACATGCCATGGCAACCTACGTCAACGAGGGGGCTTCAAGATGACCCCCTCGGACTAACACTTCGATATCTTCCCGCGACAACAATAGAGCAGGGGGGATTACTCAAGACATAGGCTTGTTGACTCAGGCGCATCTCCATATACCCGATACAGTGAGGGCAGGAACAGCCAGAAACTACTTTCCCCCTACATCGCTTTTGCAAAAGTTGTCCATGTCAGGCAAGGAATACTACTGACTGTCTTGTGATTTGGAATACCATTGGATGTGTATGTCATCAAAGATTCCTCTAAGAAAGGGTGAGTAAAGTTTTGGTGATACTTTCGTTTGATGCGTTTTGTTTGCTTGTTTCTTCTTACACCCCATGGCGTAGATATACTAATGGCCTCCAAGCCCTCCATCTTCTAATCAATAATTTGTTTTTTCTCTCTCTCTATCTCTTCAATACAGGTAGCACTGTATCCCTACCCACCGAAGGAAAGAAATTTACTTGTTACCAAGTGTCCATTATCATCACTCATGATGATGATAATTTAGCCGGATGAATCCGACATTGGACCGATCACTTATTATATAATATCCGGATATTTTTGGAATAGTTACAAACGTTTTTATTTGAGGATTATCGCGCCTCGAGCTTCGCTGGAGTACTTTCGGATCGTTCGTTCAACAAAACATCCAGAAGATGTTTTCAACATGTTATAGCTGGAAATGGCAACTCAGGAAAAGTATTTGATTGTGTGGAAGAAGGCTCATAGAATGAATATATTAACTTAGGCATTAGACGCGATTACAGAAGGAACCTTGTTTTTAGACATTTTCGTCGACATCACCGACCTCCATCATGGATGTGGCGGCCGTGATCACGAAAGAAAACATCAACAACGTGAACTACCGGCGGTTGACCAAAGAGGCGATCGGCGAAGGGAATGAGAGATATGAGGCCAAGAAGGAGAGGCAGAGACTCATCAAAACGGGTAAACGTCCCGATCTCGAAGATGAAGAGGAAGAGGAGATGGAGGAAAAGAGGGGCAAGGAAAGTGAATACGATTCCGACTTCGCCTCCGGAAGCGTCTGCCCCTTCAAGCTCGGTCCCTTTCCCAGGAAACTCTTGAGTACCCCCATCGAAGAACTGGACCCCGCCCGACAAGAAGATAGGGTAAGAACTAATTTGATTGTTTCTTGCAGTGTTGCGAGGAAACACATCCTAAAACTACTTATTTCCACATTAAATGTCAAGAAAATAAAAGAGTAAAGAAATTACCTTCTGATATTAAAATGCAAGTATTCATGGTTATTGTCGATGGGAGAACTCTTTATTGATAATTTCCTCTGATAAATGTTATAGTCAAACTTATATTACTGGGAATAAATAAATTTATTCATCGTCGTATAAAAAATACATCAAAAGTTGAAGTCATATCAATATTGATAAAGACAAGAAAAGGGAAGCTACGAGAAAAAAAATCGATGTGCTTTGAAAATGTTAGCTCCCGTGAATACAAATTATTAGGAATGAGTTTCATAAAAAAATCACACCAAAAGATATGTTAATGAAAATAGTTCGTCAGCATTCCACCATGTTGACATGGCATATTTCTAAACATGTGGTGTCGAACTCGCCCGAAGTTCTCATAAGTCTTAATATATATGCTTTGCTTTTGACCGTTCTCTTTTCATATATCATATGTTATATTTATAGAATTTTTTTTTAAATCATGGTTTGTGAAAAAAGGGCGAGGTTAAATGATAGGATACTAAATATTTAGCGTGTTATAATTCGGTCATAACTCACTTGATCCAGGCACTTGATCCTGGATTATTCAGTCTTTGGACTATTGTTCCTATCTATTGTTTCCTTTGGTTGGGATTGTCATCATATTTATCTGATTATTAACGCATCATATATGAAATTTCATTATTTGAAGATAAATATCATCATGCAATATAATTTTCTTTTTACAGTAAGTGTAGTAGAATGGGGGCACTTAAATGGCATGTTGTCATATTTCAACCACCCTGTAAGAACTGGGACCCCAAATGATGGCCAGTGCCCCCCTAAATCATTTGACCCAATCTACAACATGTATACACTGACATTGTCAGGTTTAAACATTCTGCCAATAAATTCAATGGCTAATTGATTGATAAGAAGAAAAGGAAGCACTTGTATAAAGCAAGTTCTAAACCACATAGACCACATTCGATGGAGAAAATAATCAACATTGTCTTCAAATTGAATGAAGGATGGTCGGCATAGATCGAGAAACTTTTTTGTATACAGACAGGTAAACGTATTCAAATGTTGGTTTGATACTTAATAATGTTAAGAATATAATTACAACATTCTCCTGTTGTTATAGCATAATGAATAAATTGAGTTTAAAAAAGAAAATTATTTGAACATTGATATACCAGAAAGTGATCGATGAATGGAGATGATTGATTTCCATGTTCTTTTATCTCTTTGTTTAATCATGAGCTTGTGTCGCAATGCTTTATGTCATAAATGTTCGTTAGGTTATTATTCATTTTCCATGCTAAGTAATAGAAATGAAAATGCATTAAAACATATAATTCATACAACACATTAAACATATTAACAATTAAAGTGTTGGTTGGATATTGTTGCCAAAATATAAACAAGTAAATGATTAATTCTTGTGTCATCGATAGTTATAACATGTAATACTACTATAATATACGATTGTATCATTTAAACGTAATCGAAATCATGTTGATGATAGGAATTTTCGATAAATGAATGGTTTGGAAGAACACTAATGTTTTTTTTTAAAAAGAAACCAGATAAACAAAAACTACGATGGTTATTTTACTATAATTATATCCCACATTCTTTGATATTTATTGAACAGAAGAAAGGGTTTACTTTAAACAAGATAAACAAAACGATTTTCCTCTTAGAAACTGATGTTTTCTTATCACTCGTTGAAAGAACGCGAAAGACATATTTTATGGAAAATCTGTTACACTTTCAAAAATATCAAATTCAATAAATATAGGTAGTTATAATACATTATTATAGTGTTGTTGATTTCTTTGAAACATCTACAATTTTGTTACCACATTTGCGCTGGCTTTACTTTCACCCAGCTAAAACGTGTTGAGAGGTCTATTTCTATTTCATTAAAAAAATTCCAGTTAAAGGCATATCATTGTTGGATACAATTTGTCAATTTTAAGAAAACGAGACGAAATATATCAAAATGATGGTAGTTTTAGTGATGAACTATGCCAGGGAAACATCTTTGATAATCATCGCGGCCGCCATTTTGGTTCCTACAACAAACAATTCGGGTTCTTCTCCATCTCTTTTCTTCCATTTCAACCAAAAATCCAGTGTCATTGTTCAGAATCTCGCCCCACATCAGGCATTGCCTGGATCCCAGGCAGCGATACAAACAAATAAACCGCAGAAGAAAGTCCTATTTAGAATATTGATTTCATATTCCCGTGACGTCAGCAAAAAGAAAGGAAAAGGGGCTCGTTTCCCTAACTCCTGTCTCCGCCCCATCTCACAGCGGCACAAGAACGGTGCCAACTTGAAGATCTTAAATTTGTTTACTTAAGAATGTCCAAAACAAAAATTTTACAAATTACACAATAATATTTTCGATATATATCATATTTATCAAAAACATATTCGTGATGTCTTTGAGATTTATGATTTATAATATTCATGCAAATAACTATTTTTACTTTAGCGATGTGGGTCGAGCCCTGAACAACAGCATCAAATATTCATGGTATTGATTAATCTTCAAAGAAACGTACATGGGGGGATTAGTTTGGGTAGAGCGGGCTCGGGCACGGAGGGAGAAAAGATGCCCGTCGTGCTGAATAATTATTCAACATCAATTATGTATTCCTGTGTATTCGTCTGCGTGTCTTTTTTTTGCATCCTCATTTTGGTCGCTAGCTGCCTCAGGAAAAATATAGATTAACGACTGATACCTAAAAAATGCCTCTCTTGATTTATAGTCTTCACATTTTTATCATAATTCCATTGCCCTATTTGCATGTCGTTGCAGATCGTACAGTCGATCTCAAAGACAGGGAGCGATTTTTTTTAAACTTCAGAAGTCTGTCTCTCTCTTTCTCATGGACAATCTTTACATTCAAATCTTTTATATTTCTGTCTACAACCTTTGCTTTATGGCCTATAAAAAATGCACCTTGTCCATGTCCAAATAGATTATCTAAATCCAAAATTGTAGTGATTATGCCCTCTGAATTCCTCTTCTCTAATGTTTATTTACTTTCTTTTTTCGCCGTCTTTTGAATATTTGCCGGAAATGGTCACTAAAGTATCATCATTAATGTTATTGATATATATTATGTACATTCTTTTTTTTACATACAAAATATAATAAGTACTTTTGCGGTATAAGGTAAATGGCGTTTTGCGCACTATCATACTCTTGGGAGTTTTATTTAACTCTTCATATAGATCGTTTATATAAAAAACTGTTTAATCAGCCAAAATGTGTATTATCGATGAAATAACCCGACAACCTGATAACAATGGCATGTCGTGATGAATGGCCTTTTGAAGAATAACGCTCAAATTATACAAGGTCGCTCATTACTAGGAGAAACGAACAAATTGGGTAGCGATAGTTTGAATAGTTCTGACGCCGGGGTTATTTTCTCTCAAATGTCGATCATTCCAGCAGTCATACATGTAGTATATTACATTCACAACCAAGTCTGTATGATTTAAAACGAAATGGTTGATATATCATAAGCATTTAGAGGATTTTAAGAACAAAAAACAAGAGATAACTTATTTTCAAATTATGACTACTGTGTGATGATCTGCGGAATGAAGTAAACTCATGTCATATATACGACAGTGAAGTACAAACTCAATATTTGGTTAGTACAGTAAATAATTAGCACGTTACGCAGCTAAGTCGCAAGTTAAAGAAGCGCTTTCCAGTAAATCGAAACAAATGCATGTCTTTGTTATGCTGCTTACATAAGGGATCTATACATGCACCATTTACTCCAATACCAATAAATTTGCGTCAATGACGTAGGGCCTACATGACGTAAGCATATACTGCAGAAAATATTTTAAGGAATTATTTCCTGCTAGGTATCCATTTACCTCACCTGGGTCGAGTGTAGCAAATGAAGATTAATGCCTTGCCAAAGAAGATTAGTGTCGTATCGGGGATCGAACCACGACCTTTATATTTCAAGTCAAGTGCTTAAACCACTCGACTACGACACTTCTACAATAGAAAGTTTTGGTAATATTTCAACAGGATTTGATTATGAAATTTAAATTTTGCATTACCATTGTGAAACCTAGTGTTAGAATAAGCAACTTTGAAAAAATGGGCTCTAAAAGTAAAACGCTAAGGATTTCGAGAAATTAAAATATCAAATAAATAAATATCGATAAATTTGAAATAGCGCCTACGGCCACACAATGGTAGCTGCGACCATGAAAATATCTGAATATGGAGTTCTGATATATATAATTTCCAAACGGGAATAGAAAATCGGTCGATTTAAGTGAAGAAACATTGTTTTGAAGCTAATGTCAATCTTGAGAGAGACTGTACAACATAAAGAGTTTATTATCCACAATATTGTCCCTTTAGACTCAATTTCAACCGCGACAACGATCATTGAATCGTCGCTGTTTTCACGAAGTGACGGTAGTGAAAAAAAATTGCATTCACTTTGCGTGACGATTTTCCTCACTACCGTCACTTCGTGAAAACAAGGACGGAATATTGTAAGATCGCATATGATCCCCCCTATTATTATAGTTCCCTCTTTCTCTCTCCCTCTCCTACTACCCAATCCATCCTTTCATTCTGTCACTACCTCTATTTCTGTCTCATTTGACCTTATCAGTGTGGTACTATATGAACAACACCAATAGTTCATTGATGTGCGTAATGAGGCCGCGATTGGCGGAAGGATACCTGAATAAAGCACTTTCAAGATGGCCACTTATACATGAACATTGTCTACAGTGATCTCTTATTTATCCGTTCATCTGATCTTTCAACATGGTGGCAGCAGTGGGATATTTCCTTATTATGTTATTGTCACAATTATCTCAATTAAGTCAATTATTGATTGTCTCAATTATGTAATCATGTTACGTATTTCATGTGTCTTTTTAACCGCAACCAATATGTGTACACTACACATTTCTTTTGTTTTTGCAAGAGACTTCTAATTTCTATGTACTATCTTAATTCTAATTCTAAATTCCACTCTGTAATCTCAATTGTTTTGACCTTATTACTTTTAAAGACCACCTACCTACCTACCTACCCACCTACTTTTGATTTTACAATCATTTTCTTTTTGTTGGTGTTTTTTCTTTTGTCAGTTGTTTGCTTGATTTTATAATTCTATCAAAGAAGGTCATTTACCTCATCGTAATATACATGATCTTGACTGCGCTCTAAAAAGAGCTGAGTGAAAAATGAAACAACTCTGCAAAATATTGAGTAAACAGTTACCTAACAAACATGCGTGTATACCCAACATGATTTACATTCTAAGAGTGTAGTCAACATCATTTACACTGCTACATGTATATAGAGGATCGACCATCATCAAGATTGGGTTGAATTTTACCCGACATGCAATCATGTTCCCTTATTTTTACCCAACATGGGTTAATTTTTATCAAACTCTTTGTGTGTTTAATTTTACACTTTTTTATATCATAAATAGACTTTGTAACCTAATATTTAATCATTTCTTTTCCCCATTTCTCTTACAGTCATTTGTGGTCGTCGGCAGAAAATTCAAAACATCTCAGATCTTCCGATTCACGACCAACGACGCTTTATATTGTTTGTCACCACTCAATCCATTACGGCGGCTGATGATCAAGATCTATACCAACGAATATCCTTTTCATTTCAAAGTGTGCCAACCACCTAAGAAAATAATTTTTGTACAGCTATAGCATATAAAATCAACCTCAATAAACTTCATCTGGCATTCTATGGGCTGACGGATACAAAGTATAAAGTAAATAAAGAATATCATAAAACGGCGCACGACAAGTCGAATTAAAATTAACCGAGAGTCTACTCAAAATTGCACAATCTCGACGCAGAAGTATATATTTCAAGCTCATATTTTGAAGATTGCTTTTGGTTTGGTTTGGTTTTATTTTCCGTACAAAAAAAAATCAAATACATATGAGAATACAATTTACAAATATAATACAAATCAAGAATTAAAAAACCGGCTGGAATGCTCTATTCAGAGCCATTATAAAATGGCTCTTTTCTTCCTAGAGGTCCATGTACCATATCATATAAAATGAATTATGTTTTCAATATATTTAATGTTGTCATTAGTACATACAGTTTAATGTTTGTATTACGACACGGAAGTAATAGTTCAAAAACAAAATAATGTTGTGGTTGGCTTTCTTTAAGAGAGTCGAATGTGTAACCTATATAGGCGGGGGGAAGGGGCCGCTTCCCCTTTTGAAAGAGAAATAAAATCATGGCGCGGAAAAACGTACGCTAAGTGAGCCCCTACCCTATTTTTGACACCTGCATTTGCCCTGGATTGAGAATATTGTGAACAATACAAATTTAAAAAACTCGAGGAATAAGTATTTTATGGAAAATATTGGCATTTTATGTATAATAATTGTATAAACCTGCACCTCATGTCAATTGTTATGTATCGGTTCATCTAAAATAATTTATCTTTTTAATACATTTAATGTTTTCATTAGTACATAGAGTTTTTATGTTTTCAGTTTACCTCTGCGAACACTGGCAAAGTTTAATATATTTCTATTAAAAAGAATCCGTAAAAGCTTTCAAATTGGCAACTAGTTAACAGATCATTGAATCATATCAATTTAAAGGTGATTATTCCGACGAACAACAAAATAACTCTTCGAAATGCTCTCTACATCACTTACTGTTCATATTAACTTCTGTTCTGGTTTATTATATATAAAGATCAAGGTTTAAAACAAAAAAGGATGCAATTATAGTCAGCTCCCTCACCTAGTTCGTCTGCTTAGTTCAAGTCTGTCGTTTTTTCTCATATAATTGACATGATGATTTTCCTCGCCTCTTCTCCTCTTTTTCCGTCTTCTGTAACTTCACACCAAGTCTATCTCTATTGACAATCAGTAAAAAAAGTCAAACGTCTGCCCTTTTCTTTTTACGGTATACCTGCTCCTTTATTAGTAATCATGAAGGTCGGATCGGCTTATTATTATCATAGAAATGATTTTTCTGTCCTATTATCGTCTGGTCGTCATGGCAACAGTATGCATATGATTGGAGAATACATTAAGAGTAATCCTTAACCACCGTGTACGTTCTTCGATCTATTCGTAATCCTAACCATCATTGCCAATTGTGTCTTCCTGATGCTGGATACTCCTAGGCCACCTGAAGTTGAAGAGTAAGTTTGCATTCCATTTGTGTTTGTTTTTGTATTCATAGGAGTAGTAGTAGTAGTAGTAGTAGTAGTAGTAGTAGTAGTAGTAGTAATAGTAAGAGAAGTAGTAGTAGTAGCAGTAGAAGAAGAAGAAGAAGAAGAAGAAGAAGAAGAAGAAGAAGAAGAAGAAGAAGAAGAAGAAGAAGAAGAAGAAGAAGAAGTTACTAGTAATGGTAGTAGTTGCGATTTCTATATCTTATCTTATCCTTTACAATTTATTTTGATGATGAAATTTGACTTTTACTAAACAGATTGTCAAATTTTCGCTCTCTCGCTCGCATAACAATAATAATGGTGATGATAATAGTAATAGAAATAATAACTACAATAATAATAGTATTAAATGTATTACATATAATTGATAACTGGCAGTAAAAATGCCTATTTTCACCCTCAGACTATATCCAACATAATTGATTGTCATTTACCCTCGGTCTAATCGGAATTTCAGGAGAAAACAAAGTTATCACAATTAAGGTCTCAATATCGTAATTTTTTCATCAACAACCGTTATTGTGAATAGGGATGAAAAGTGCACCGCGTTGGTCTATAAATCGGATTAAAGAAACTTTGACTGCGGCATATAAATACAATTGCGACTATTCATCCATTGTGGCTTAGTTATTTACAGATCTTCTTTTCAGAACTTCGTAAAAGTAAGATCTGCTTGGCGAACAATTATTAAGAGCGTATTTTAACGATGAAATTTATTTGTTCCGCTTCCCCTTTCTCTTCCCTTTTTCATCCACAGGCCAACTTACCTCAAAATAGCTGAGTAAGTATAATCATCATTCATATAAATGTGTTTGAAGTATATGTAATGATAATTGAAGGAAGAGGGAGAGAGATGGGTAGGTTTGGGGTTATATATAGAAATGCAGAGAAAGAAATAGTTGTAAGTATGTGTGTGTATGTTTTTTTTTTAATAGAGGGAGAGAGAGAGAGAGAGAGAGAGAGAGAGAGAGAGAGAGAGTGAGAGAGAGAGATATAGAGAAAGAAGAGATAGAACATATGTCAACCGTTAGTATGTTTTATATATTTTTCAAAAGTAAACAATCTCACTGATGAAAAGAGTTCTGCACTATTCTTATAGTGCGTAGATCCTTTTTCTAAAATTATGTTCAAAAGTATTAAACAAAACCATTCTAGCTTCGACTTTTAGTTTTCTACATGTCGCAATTATCTATAAATTCTATATCAAATATCTTTTGGATTGGATTGGATTGGATCTCGTGCAGTATTTTCAAAGATGACATGAGTCATATCTTTCACCTTAAAGGTTAATGGTATTGGTTTATGATAACTTTTTAAGTGAGCATTTCCTTGCGAGTGAAAGTTCGGAGAGAAATAGTTTGCGATTGCCAAAAATCACACTTTATATTATGTATATCAGAAGCGTATATAAGACCTCATACCAAAAAAAACCCATTGAGAATATTATCCTTTCTTCCGAATAACCAGGTACATCTTTACGACCATCTACTCTGTTGAAATGTTTGTGAAAATCTTTGCGAGAGGATTTGCACTCCATCCGCATACGTATATGAGAGATGCGTGGAATTGGTTGGATTTTTTCGTCATCGTTTTGGCGTAAGTATATATCTTTACATTTCCTTTCTGCCGCTAAGGTATGTTTTAATGAAATGAGAGTTTTTATTGAAAGGAGACATTATTCCTGAAAGCTATATACAATCCCAGAATTATGTAACAACCAACGACTTACGAATATTCAATCAAATACATTTCGATCAAGGCGTTTGATTACCTTCGAAATAATTAAATATAAAAAAAATAATTATAATTTAGTTGACATTTTCCTGGATATGTAAAGCGTTACAAAAGATCCTTTCCATTGGTATATGTAAAGTGTTATAAATAGTATAAGTTACAATGGAAATTGTTCTGTAACTCTTGTAGAATGTGCAAGAAAAGAAGCCATTTTTTTTTCTCATAGGGCCTCCATTTTCTTAGGAACAGACATTTAAACATTTATATCGTTAATTTGTAATTTCACATGCCTAACGTCCCTGTGTAAGATACGTCTTTTATTGGCTTCCCTTTCTTTGGTTATTATCTTTGTTGCTGAATGTGAAATATATTTTGCATTCGTTTATGATTTTAAAAGAATTGAGAAATAAAATCAATTTAGAAACTTGAAATTGGTATCTCCTTGTTTGACAATTACTCTCTCAACTTTTTTCAACAGGTATATCACGTTCGGGTTAGTCGAATCGGGCGTCGACATCGGCAACTTCAATTTCCTTCGGACCTTCAGGGTTCTTCGAGCCCTGAAGACCATCTCCGTCGTGCCTGGTCTCAAGAGCATCATCAACGCCCTCATCCGGTCGACGAAGATGTTGGGCGAGGTGATGCTGCTGACCGTGTTCGCCCTCTGCATCATCGCCCTCCTCGCTCTCCAGCTCTTCATGGGCAAGCTCACCCGGAAGTGCGTCGCGAACATCCCACCGGTGGACTTCAACATTTCCGACGAGTACTTCTTCAACTTCACACAAGACCCAGGTATGTTACAAAAAATATTATAGATATATTGACTGCTATGAGAGGCATCGCTGTTTCTATAGGTTCAAGGGGACGTTACATCTTGATATGACCCCGAGGCGCAAATGTTACGATCATTCGGGAATCGCAGGCTAAAAGCACTGTATGGTGTCCGCGCCCGCACAGAGAAACTTTTTACAAACCAATGGGGATCTTAGACAAAAAAAAAATTATTGACCGGTAGGCGTGCATGGCTTAAATCACGACTCCAAATTTCATGCAGTATTAGCATGTTTTTTTTGCGGGAAGCCGACGATTTATGGAGGCAAAGACTATAACGTAATTATGTAATATGTGTAAAATGTATCTTTATGGTGACGCGATCAAATCTCTCGTGTTTTTCAGCAATCTCGCCTTCTTTCTTTATGTATGTTCATGTAATTTTCAAATAGTGTATTAATTTGACTGTAAGACGGAAATAATTGTGCTTTGATTATTAAATCGTCTCGCTTAATGTCAGACATGATTATTTTTCATTTGAACAGAAAAGAGACGAAAATAGAATTAATCTGTCATATTCAGTTCTAAGGTAAAATATATTCGGGAGACGATTGAACAGGATATTTGAAATGAAAGTGTCCTAGTAAATATATTGAAATAAAAGGATTTGTTTTTGTTTTTGTAAAAAAAACAATTGCATTGATAGGAATGATATTTTGTTAACCATAAAGCTACTGCATATTCATTTCCTTGTATATAAAATGTATACATTTACTCCTGCTTATAAAATGCACATGCCCTTAAAATGTAAATGAAAATTCATGTACATGTATTTAGGCCAACTGATAAATGAAATGATTATGTATAATTTATCTGTGCTAACCATTAAAAGCTGTTGTTTCATTACTATTTTATCCGCTTTTTATCTTGCAGCAAATTGGTTGACTTGGAATTCAGATCCCGTCATCTGTTCAAACATGACACTCGGAGGGTAAGTAAACTATACACCCGAGAAAATAAAACAATTCCTCGCTCACGAAAAAATAGAAAAAAATAACGATAAACTAAATAAGAGAAAATAGATTGAAGGCTGATTTTAAATGTTATGAGAAAAACATGATAACATGAGAATCGTCTATTGAGTGTTTTTTGGAGGGTAAGTAAACTACACCCGAGAAATTAAACAAATCTTCGCTCGCGAGCAAAAAGAAAAAATAATGATGAATGAAATAGAAGAAAATAGATAAAAGGGCTATTTTAAATGTAATGAGAATAACACGATAAAATGAGAATCGTCAAGTGAATGTTTTTTCGCCCTTTCATCCAAGTATCATATACTATTATCCTGACTACATACTAATCATTTTGAGAATTCAATTAAAATTCTCAAGTGGGTTTTCCAGCATGAAGTAAACACTTCAAGTTACGAATACTCATTAGTTTTATATCCAAAAATATGGTACCTAATTAAACTCGAACGGCGTGGTTTTATTTGAATTAAACTACCAATAAATAAAAGTGGTTTGTTCTACATTTTTCATTAATAGAAAAACGCATAATTGAATTTCATCTTAATGACAGTATTCTAATTTCGTATTTTTAAACACTTTTCTTTTTATATTCTGGTACCCGTGACACAGGAGAGATTGGAGGTAAGTTGATTGAAAATTGTTAAAATAAATTAATTTTCGGTAGATGTTTGAGCTACGTATTCAGTGAAATATACTTGGGAATTTTGTCTTCATTTAAATCAAGAATTTTTGTTGTTGAGATATGAAGCCTAGTCCATGCCAATTATATAACTAAGAACAGATCGCAAAAGCTTTAAAAACTCAACCAAATGCAATGTCAATAACCGTATATGCATCACCTTGTGAATAGTGGGAATACTACGATGACATTCGTGTGTAACCTATCCCTAACATAGTTTCTCTTTATACATGTACAAATCAATAGGAATTAAAACCGCCCTTGAGTTGACTTTTGTCAAGGTTTTTGCGATGGTGAAGAGAAAATACACGTATATGCGTTATATAAACACTGCATTGTGTGAGAAATTAAGTAGTTAGGATAAGTCTTTGTTGTAAAAATACAAAGGAAGAAGATTTAAAGAAGTAAATTTATATGTGATCGGGCAAAAGAAAATCTTACCGGGGCATAACATGTTAAATAAAACAATGAAGATTGTAGTAGCAATACACGAAGTGACGGTAGTGAGGAAAATCGTAACGCAAAGTGAATGCAATTTTTTTTCACTACCGTCACTTCGTGAAAACAGCGACGGTATGTCAGCAATATCTTAACAGTGACTGCTAATGACAGCTATTAAACAGGACGTTTGGTTTTAAATTGAGACAACAGCTTTTTGGTAATGCATTTTAATTGGTTTACATCCCTTCACACCACGCAGTTTATGTCCGGAAAATTACACATGTCTGGAAGGCATCGGGGACAACCCAAACGACGGTTACACGAACTTTGACAACATAGGCTACTCCATGTTAACATGCTTCCAGCTTATCACACTAGACTACTGGGAAAACGTCTATAATAACGTGAGTATATAGTGGAATGAGTGTATAAATTTATTGTTTAAAACTAAAATATGGAATATATATAAGCGTATGAAATATATCACATGTGACGTAATGAAGAAGGCTTAAAGAAAGAGAGGGATGGAGAAAGAAGTAACTAATAACAAACTAAACTTGTGATAGGATTCATAATCGTTGTGACATCATTAAACTCGTACGATCGTCTATGATTTGGAGCCGATTTGCCTTTTACGACCGACTAGAAATCTAAAATTCACTAAAATATCGATTGCTAATATTCGTTTCATTATTCAGAACCACAATCAGGAAGATGATCTTTGTTAAAATAACTGCGATTTCTTTGAAAATCGAACGGGAAAAAGAATTGTATAATCTAGGGGTTGGGGGGGGGGGGCTTAAGATACGAAAACGAGCATCTCTGATATCAGCCAATACGTTAATTTCAAGCAATGAAGGTATATTAAGAGGCAAAGAGGAAAACATATATGCAAGGATGCGAGGCCATTGACTACGAATTACAATTACAAAGCGCAACGTCTCATTACTGTGCTCTTGTTTTTTCATCCTATTCGCCTTCTATTTCTTTCTATTCTTTTCGAGTTTCTGTTCTGTTCTTTATTTAGTGATGGGTATAAATAGAATGATTTAACATTAATCGGAAGGTGAGCAAAAGTCCAAATAAGTCGAAACTACTTCTCCCCAAGGCACTGAAATGATCATGTTCAATATTATAAAATCCTGTTGTTGTGAAATCGAGAGATAGAAACCATGGTCCCTCACACTGTTCCTCTCTGCGTGCATACTCTTTCGAGTCAAGAATGAAGAATTCTTATTATTTCGGGTTATCATAATATGTTTTTGCTTATGTTTAAAATTAGAAGCAAAACAAGAACACAACGAATAGAAGGATCACCATGCTGGGCTAGCCTAGGGAGCCTCGCACTTTATGTTCTCAATGGTATTCCATAGAAAATTATACATGACACTTTCAAATACATAACGCACACTGATGCGTCAAAACTTTATCCCTGAAAGACGGCCACACTAATCTACCTCTTCGTTTCTCGTTCCCTTCCGATACAGATTTTGAAGGCGCAGGGACCGTACGCGGTCTTCTTCTTCCTCACAACCGTCATGTTCGGCGCGTTTTACCTCATCAATCTTATGCTGGCCGTTGTCTCCATGGCTTATACAGAGGAAATGGAGAACCAAGGAAAGGTAAGGGAAATCTTTCTCCATTTCGACAGCGAATTGGAACTAAATATATGTTTGAAAATTAGTAGGCCTCTTGTGGTATTGGACAATGTATGAAGATGTCTTCTTGCACGCATACACACCCTCGCACGCCTACGCACACAATATAGTGAAACAATTTGAACTTGTTTTCTTTCAAGAATTTCATAGGCCTGATTGGCTAATGCGTATGAGACAAATGAGGGGGATGGGGCGGCTGAAGGGGGGGGGGGGGCTTGGGGCGCAGCCTCCCGAACTTTTTTAACTCGCCAAATATTGATTTGCGGTCACTTTGTGAGATTCATTATTTAAAAAAAATAAAATGTCTTAGGAGATTATTATATTATTAGTATGAAATTATGAAAAATTCGGCAATTAACTGTAACATTCATGTATTTTATTCCCTCTTTTTCTTTGGAGCCATCGAATAAAATGGTGACATAAAGTTCCTTAACATTACAATACATTATAGTAAAGCAATATAGAAAGTAACTGTTGCATATGACTTGATGTAAGATGATATATTCTTTTACACCAAGTACGTTTGGCTAGCGATTTATTTTACATCATTGAGTGGAGTTTTCAAATGTCCTAGTATTGATCGTGATCAATGTTTTTGCTCAACTTACAGGAGAAGGCCAAGAAGATGAAGCAGAAGAAAGACAACGTCATGCACCTAGACGCAAAGAAACTGCAAAAGCTGGCAGCAAAGAAGAAGAAAAAGAAACAGAAGAAGCAAGCGGAGCAGGACGGACAAGAGGAGAGCCAGCAAGGAAGCCAGGTCCCGATGCTGACCAACGGCAAGGAGAACGCCGGGTATACAGGGGAGGGCGCTGCTCCTGGAACCGCAGAGACCAATCGACAGGATGATTCTATCAGTGATGTTGGGTCAAAGATATCCGGGGTAAGTGTTTGATGAATGCGATGGCGTGCCTCTTGCGCGTGTGTGCGTGTGTGCGTGTGTGCGTGTGTGTGTGTGTTTTTTTTTTGGGGGGTGGGGGTGGGGGTGGTTGGGGGCCTCAGCTAAATAGCGGAGGGGGACACGAGACATTAATCATGATCTACCATTGCGAGAATTTAGATGAAGTTTGATCAAACCATTCATGTGCCTCAGTTGAAAAGCGGAGGGGGGGGGGGGGGGGAGGGGGACACGAGAGAGACATCAATTATTTGCGAGAATTCAGATGGAATTTTATCAAACTTTTCTTGAGAAATTGTGCAGACAAAAGTGTTCAGAAATTAACAATTAAAAAGCTGCAGTCAATCTCTAAAGAAAAACAAAATGGAGAAAACTATAAAGGGATGACGATGAGGATGCCAAATTAAAGGAAAAGATACAAACCTCGCCACACCCTCTCCCCATCTGATCGATATCATAGATTAATATTTCAGACGTCCTCCATTTAGTAGTTTCAATTCCCCTTCAATAGCTGGACCTACTCTGCGTCACTGGTCTTTTGAGGTTGACAGTGATCGATACTTTGACCTTGTGGTCCTGACCTTGCGATTGGGGCCTGGACCCGGATGAGGTCTTGGAGGTATATTGAAGTGAAAGCGAAGTGAAGGTCTCGACCGATTTCTGCGGTCACTGGTGTCTGGGAAGCAAGTCTCGAAGACGTCACTGGGCAGAGGTGTAGCCAAACCATTTTGAATGCAGGGGAGGGGGAAGATGGGTGGGGGGGGGGGGGGGGGGGGGTTGTCGCCGAAATATTATTTTTACCCATCTTGGTAGGTTAACAATGTAGGTGATTATAAACGCAAGGGGACAGAAATCCGTCGTTATGAAGAATATTGGTGAAAGGAAATTAGAAAACGGTGTCTTTCACGTTATAAATAGGCAGCTTTATGTTCCTAACCAGCCATTGTAAAGCTGCTGACGAATCAGAATGACTTCTCAAGAAGTTGATAAATGTGGCAGTATCTGGGTAGCGTACCAAAATGCGTGCATGCTTAGAATAATAAAATGATATTACTTCGAAAATCCAGTAAAGTGGTTTATTTTTGCATAGTCTGCGAACTGGGGTATCCCCAATTGTTAAAATATATGACTCTCGATGACCAAATTATAAACCATTTATTAATAATATAATGATAAATAATGCATTTTAGGATGCTGACTTTCAGTTGTATTTTTAATTTGTGAAGATTTCTTTAGGTAGTTTTATAAGACAACTTAAACGATATTTTTTTCATTTATTGATTTTCCTCTTGAAGAAATTTGCAATGAAAGCTCTTCTTTCAACATATAATGTGAGTGATTATTTCTGCCAAATTTATCTGATATCATATTTAATCTGGTTTTTATTAAACGAGGACAGTTTTGGTAGAACTACTCAAATTGTAACTCCAATCAGAAAATATTAAGCGTGTATAACCTTTACTTATGGTGGTAGTTATTTACTTATGGTTACTTATGGGAAGAAACTAATTATCATCTACTAACATGGCTAAAACGAATTAACGTGTATTTCAGAAAAGGATAACCAAATAACATGCCTAAACTATCACAAAATATAATGAAAAAATAAATGCTTCGGATGGATTTGTTTAAAGAGAACCAATGTGATATTTGATGTCTAATATTATTCACCTCCCCTCTTGCAATCTCCTGTTAATTCCATCATTTAAACAAAATAATACTGACTGAAATGATTAATATTTGTATCATCATTGCGGACCCATCTCTACTCTGAGATTTATGAAAATAAAAAAAATCTACATGTATGTATACTTCCATATTTATGAATAACTTCTGTCTTTCTTAATTGATTCTGTCTATAAATATATTCGTGATAATACATAATTCGTCCGACGATCCGTCCATTTGAAAATTTCAAACACTAGGTATAACATCGATTTTTGAAAACTCCAGAGCAATAAAAGAATTCTCGAATAACTTTCAGAGATCCATCACAATTTGAAGAAAAAAATGTATTATCAGTGGATGATTTCAGAAAATTGTGTGCTCTGCACAAAATCAGAAGATATATTTCGCCCTTTTTTTTAGGGGGGGGGGGGGGAGGGGAAATATCATTGATATGTATATATTTGATATTAGTATACTTACATTATATATCATATATGATTGTCTTGTTATATTATTTTTGCAATTTAAATGATATTAATAGTCTAACATTATACAATTTTAATATTATCAATGGTATTCAGTTGTTAATATCATTTTTTTTACTTTTTGCAATATAAGTAACATCAATATCTAAAAAAATATGATTAAAGGTTTGTTTTGGGCCAACATCCATGATTTTTTGATAATCACGGACAAAGAAGCGTTGAAGTCATTTGAAGGGATATAAGGAGATAAACTGAGACGGTAAGAGATTAAATAATGGCTTGCTTGCTCATGCCTTCCCTGCGGGGACGGGATCCATCGATACTGCATGGCCATTCTATTGTATCTAAATAATAGGTGAAGTAATCAACAATACTCTCGCTCCGACGTGGAGGGTGAAAATCTTTCAAAGGGAGAAAATGGAACGACGATGCTTTACAATAGAACATTCCATGGGGACGGCACTTGTGTTTTCATCCATTGCCAGACGCCATTCAAATAATACACCTTCTCTACAATAACCTTTATCTATTTTGAGCTTTGACTAAACGATGGTTTCTATGGTCGTTGTCGTCGTACAGAAACCGATCGGAGCGGGCGCTGTCGATGCTGACCAAGACACGGAGATGAACGACGGCATGACAGATATAAACGATGCCATGACAGAGAATATTGACAGTGTCTCAGGTATAGGGAGCAAGAACGATTCTGATAGTCAAGCCAAGCAATCAACCGCCGGTGGTGATGATGACGATGAAGAAGCGAGTAAGTATCTGATCTAGAAGAAAAAAATGAAAGAAGGAAAAAATCGTACAAACCAGTCAAAATTACAAAACAATCTGCTGTTATAACACAGCAAATCAAACTCATCTTTTTTTTACTTTTGTAGTTTAGCAATGAGACTGTAATCTTTTATTATTTATTGTTTAGGCACTTTGAAAATACTAGTCAGTTGGCACAATCTAAAAAGAAAATCCTATTTACAAATAGTCAAACGGAATGTTGTATTTGTTTGGGAATAATTTTCCTCGTTTTGTTGTAAAAACTTGGGAGAAAATAAATTGAAGACAAAAGGCGTTTAGAAATGAAGGATACGATAAAGCCCAGGAAGCACACAATGTTCTCACGGCGTTCGTAAAAAGTCCTGTCATGTGAATTTATGCTTACGTCTCAAGAGAATTTTCTGTTCCCCGGGAGATTTAAAAAAAAAATCAACAATGCCAACCTCTTTTCTTTTTTCTACTTTCAGTCCCTTTCAACGAAGACGACCCCGATAACCTGAAGAACTACCCCTGTTGCGACTACAACTGCTGCTGCGGTTGCTGCAGGCGGAACTTCATCTGTACCTTCCCTCACTATCGACGCTGGCGGAAGGTGCAGTACATAGCCAGCTGGGTGGTCTTAGACCCCCTGATGGATCTTTTCATCACCCTCTGCATCCTCGGTAACACCGCCTTCCTCATGATGGACCACGAGGAGATCTCCGACAGCCTCGCCTACATCTCCGAGGAGGGCAACAAGGTATAGAGGATGGATGGCAGGAATCTTATCTTTAACGTAGCTAGAAGAGAGTGAGAGAGGGAGAGAGAGAGAGAGAGGGAGAGAGAGAGAGATAGAGAGAGAGAGAGAAAGAGAGAAAGAGAGAGATAGAGAGGGAGAGAGAGGGTGGGGGAGAGATATATCAACCTGTGTATCCTCCTTGGCAGTTTATTCTTCTTGCAGTATGTTGATAAACGACATACTGTATACATATTATTCCCAGTCTCTAGCTTGGGAGGAAAATGAATACTTTAGACGACATGGAGGGTGAGAGAGAGAAATAGAGTGAGAGAGAGGGAGAGAAAGAGATGACCGGAGATGGGTAGAGATTGAGTGAGCGAGAAGGAGAGGACGAACGGAGAGATGGATGAAAAGAAAAATGACAGATGGTGAAAAGTTTAATCTGCTTTTGATTTGTCGTAATTTTAGATAAATCATCAATCTGATAATCATTAGTTTATCTAAACCTATTTTTTTTTCTTCTATTACAGGTTTTTACCTACATATTTACGATTGAGTGCGTACTGAAACTCATAGCTCTGGATAAGAAATTCTTCAAGAATCCTTGGAATGTTTTTGACCTGTTTGTCGTCTGCGTGAGTCTTCTCGAGTTTGGTCTGGCAAATGTCGAAGGTCTGTCCGTCCTTAGAAGTTTTCGATTGGTAAGTCAAACTGGAGAAAAAAATAGTCCAACAAAATTTGACTCTTGTTTAGATAAATTTCAACCCTTTCTTTTACTGTTGTTACGACTGCTGCTACTTCTACTACCATGACTAATAAAACCACTAGCTGCAACTACTTTCTCTCTTACAACAACAACAACATCAACGACAACGACAACGACAACGACAATGACAGCGACAACTACTGCTACTACAACAACTACTACTACTAATATTACTACTGCAACTACTAATACTGTTGCTGCGGCTGCTGCTGCTACTACTTATACTACTAATACTTTTAATACTTGTAGTAGTATTACATGTACTATTTCACCCTTCCTCGTTTTACTACCACCTTTACTATTATAATGTGACTCGGTCTTTTATTCTATTTATACACGTTATTTTGGAAAACGCATGAAGTAACATTTTTCGCGATTATCTACAGAATTTCCTTTCAAAAGCATTTTGTTTTTGCATGTTTTCTTCTTTGATGTACATTCCACCTGGCGTCCCCCTAATGTTAACAAGCCAATATTTACCCTTGTTTTCCATACAGCTTCGAGTTCTTAAACTCGCCCAATCCTGGACCACCATGCGGACCCTCCTCTCTATCATCGCATCGGCCATCACGGCCATCGGCAACGTGATGATCGTCCTTCTCATCGTCATGTTCATCTTCGCCGTCATCGGCATGCAGATCCTCGGCGGCAGTTACACACCGGAGAACTTTGGCGTGGCAACCTTTGAGGAGATCCCTCCCTGGACCTTCCAGGACTTCCAGCATTCCATCATGCTGATCTTTCGAATCCTCTGCGGAGAGTGGATCGAGCCTCTCTACGACTGCATGAACGTGGGCAACAAACCCTTCTGCGTCATCCTCTTCATCGCCACGCTCATCGTCGGAAATATCATGGTAATCCTCATCAAAAACTTGTACAGTCATACCTGCTTTAGCGACCACCTGTCTTCAAAGACCACATTTGTGTTTCCCTCGAAAACGGTTCCTCATTGAAACATGTACTAAAGGAACCTTTCTACAATGACCACCTGTCTACTGTGACCACTTTTTGTGTTTCCCTTGGGTAGTCGCTATAGACAGGTTCGACTGTACCTTTAATGACTCAGTCACACCACCGAAACCAAAACCAGACCGAAACAAAATTACATTACCTCAGACGGTCTAATTTCTTTGAGATCATCGGTCGGTTTTGAATCGGCATTGTTGTGAGGTATTCACCGAGGAGACCAACACAAAACCGAAAACAGACCGATAAAAAAACATTACATCACACTATATGGACAAGAGGTATTAAGGCGGTGTGTCGGAGGCATAGTCGTCTTTAGGATACTTGCGAAGATTTACTATTATCTTTAGCAGTTGCTTACTAATATTATCTAACGAACTGTCCATGATCATCAGCAAAATTCATTTTGTATGTTTGGAATGAACATTCTTTTAGCTTTCAAATGGCCGTGCTTGGATCTTATTCTGCTAAGAATAATAGGACATCAGTAGGCCAATTAAGCTTGTGAATATTTGAAGAGGCTTGATTGAGCAATCAACCGTATCATATAATATCTTTGCAAAGGATTTTTTTTAAATTCATTTAATAAATAACGGAAATGAACTGAATTGATTTCAGTTATTTATTTGAACACGGTAACTCTCTCAGCCTAAACGGCTGTTTTTCAGAAAGTCCGTGTTAACTGAATTAAATTTTGTTTATATTGTAAACAAGAACATCGTCATGACTGATAGCATGAATTCAATTTTCCCCTTGCAGATGTTGAATCTCTTTCTGGCCTTGCTGCTCAACTCGTTCGCTTCGGACTCCCTCCAGAACAAGAAAGCAGCCTCTGAATCCAAGCTCATCCTGGCCTTCCGAAAGATTGGTCGCTTCCTGAAGTGCCTGGTACGGCCTTGCCTCTGCTGCAAGAAGTACAAGAACAAGAACAAGATCGGCGACAGCGTCGAGAACCTAAAGGCCCTTGCGAATGGGAATGGAACGACGAAGAAGAACGGCGTGATCCCGATCGAGAACGGTCACGGAGGCAAGGCCACCATCCACGAGTTCATCGTGGTCGAAGATGTGGGCAATAACGAAGATAAGATCTCGACCATCGATATTGACAACGGTTCGCAAACAGGTAGGTTTAATACTGACATCGTTGTCTGAAATATGTGAAATAGTTTGTAAAAAAGTTCCAATGATATTTCCCGGTATCGATTAAGGCGTCCTAACTTTAAATCGGGTTTAAATCGCAGACCAACATTTGAGTAAATACTTTGTCTACTTGTATACGTATACTAACATTAAAAAGGATGAGCCTTGGTCTAGATTAATCCGCTTTGGGAGAATAGGCCTAGCTGCCATCGATTGAACTGAATCATCAGCAACAAAACTCGTATTCATACTGGGACATCGCATAATAAAACAACCTAGAAATTCTAGATATGCATACATAAATATATATATAGATATATACATGGCTATGATTCCATAACAACCTCTAAAACCTTATCGCTAGCTTTCTTGAGGCTGTCTAGGACCTAGGTATTTATTTCCTAACAACGTTTCTTGCGATTTAAATAATTATATTGATAGTTGACGATCAAATCGAGTCTAAACATATACAACGGATAATATGAACAACGCTTACAAAAACGGGCTGGGTCACAACGCGCCAGACCATTTCTGTAAACATGTCAAATTTGACAACTAATAATATATATATATATATTTTGTTGTTGCTTTGTTTCAGTTATTCGACATAGAAACCAACTAACAACGAACGGTTATCACCTTCATCCAGCGCTAGCTTCATCTAATGGGAATCTTCCAGTCATGTATACCAATGGAGGCAGCTACCACGGCAGCGCAGTCAGCCTCAGATCGGTAGGTCTCCAAACAAAATCAAACTTTTGTTTTCAACTAGAGTGACTGTTTAAAACACAGTGACAAGGATGTAATTGCACAATTTTCTGTGTATACAATTTGGATGGTGTTAGACTTGACAGGTTGCAGATCCTAATTCACTATGGCATACTGAAGGAGAGAACGAGAGATAGAGGGGGTGGCGGATGAAACTAAAGATGGCACAGGGTGTGTGGACAAGCCCTTGGCAGAACCCCTGAGAGAGATTTGTCAAATTATATGAGGCTATTCTTTCTCCTAACCTTCCATAGGCGGATCCAGGATTCTGTGGTTAGGGGGAGGGGGGTATAACATTTCTTTGGAAAAAATGACAAGCAAGCAAAATAAAAGGAGAGAAAGATCACCACATTGCAGATGTTATTTTGGGTAGTCAGAATTATTTGCAGATGGGCAGTAGATTGAATCGGTTTTGCCTGGGGCATATGCTACCTTGAGCTGCCTCAATGAACGAACTCTGCATCTGTCAGAGTGCAATATTTTCATTGTGAAAGCTTGTACTTCAGGTATGACCCTACATGAATCGAATAGCGCATTATCAAACTTATCGTTGATATTGTCTATTCACGTAAACTTTGTATTTTACTGGTCATGTTTTTTTTTCTTCATTTTTCTCCAGCTTCCGAACCGTCCACACGTGGCATTCGTCACCCCTGCTCCTGTTCCAGCCATCCTACCTCCACCCAGAGTTACCCCATCTCTCCGTCTTGACCCTGCCGACGCGAGAGAGAACGACTCCCTGGCCGACGACGCCGGCAACTGCCCTCTCGTCATCAGGACCAACGCCGAGACGGGCGAGTTCGAACCTCCCCGCTCGGTAGCTGCCACCCCCATCGCCGGCCGATCAGTGAGCCACGCGAGTCTGCACAGTATCGCTAGCAGGCGAGACACGGCTGTTATTGTCCAAACAACTGCCACTATGGAGGAACCCATCCTGGAGGACCCGGTCAAAGACTGCCTGCCGAGGTTGTGCGCGAGCTTTTACGCCAAAAAGTGTTCCTGCATCCCGTGTTGCCTGGACGCTAACGAGAGCAACTGGGCCTACCGGTGGAGGAGGTACCGGGAAATCATGTTCACCGTGTGTGAACATAAGGTCTTTGAAACTTTTATCATCGTCGTCATCTTTGGAAGCAGTTTCACCCTAGTAAGATATTGCACTTTGATTATTTATATTCTCATTTATCTGATCATGCTACTCAATCTTCTAATGATCTATCATCATCTTCTTCTTCTATTTCTTCTCCTTCAACTTCTTCGTTTTTTCTTTTTGGTATTCTTCTATATTTCTTCATCTAAGACATCTATCCATATTTTCTTCTTTTGCTTCTCCTCCTTTACGTTCCATTCGTCTTCTTCTTCTTCCTCTTGTTTTTCTGTTATCTACTTAGTCGTTTAATGACCTGCGTGACCCTTGACCTGTTATGTTGTCGTTGCTTTCAATAGCTACCTAAATTTTGGTTCTAATTTCATCTGCTCATTCAGATTTTCGAGGATATCTACCTAGATCTTCATCCGAGACGCCAGGAGATCCTCAAAATTCTCAACTACGTATTCTTTGGCATATTCGTCGTGGAAATGTTGATCAAATGGAGTGGATACGGTTTCGTGAAATACTTCACAAGTTTCTGGTGCTGGCTAGACTTTTGCATTGTTCTTGTAAGTACAAATCTGTATTACGGATAATTTAGCTACAGCAGCAGGTGCTGAATTATTCATTCTGATTTCCCTTAACTCCAAGCGGTCGACGAGAATCTTATAAAGCCAGTCTTGAGTTTGGGCAATGACGGAGAATACATCCTCACAAAAGCAAAACTATTTTTTATAGAAATATTATGATAGCTGTGTAATGAGGAACAAAGGTGAAAAGATCTTGCAAGTTTTTTTCGACACAGGTGCGAATTTGATTTCCACCAAATTTCATTAGTTTGCCGATATTTTGCTAGTCTAAACAACCCGTCTGCTTCATGATAAAAACATCTGAATTATGTTGGACCAGTTCTTTTGAAATGGAATGCAATTACCTGAACTCGAGTAAATTTGTTGTCATTTGTAGGAAGAGGCGATGATATCAATTATATTGATTCTTTTTCAAAATAAATTATATGAAAAATTATGCAATCAAACCGAATTTCTTCTTCTCTAGGTCGGTCTACTGAGTCTCCTGGGAGATGTCATCGGGTTGACGAACTTCGCAGCATTCCGGGCCCTCAGGACCCTACGAGCGCTCAGACCACTGCGGGCCATCTCCCGATGGGAAGGCATGAAGGTTCGTATCAGATCCCCCCTGGGGGTGGGGGGGGGGGGGGTGGTACTCAGATGAATTGGTTTTGACGGGGGGGGGGGGTGCCGCTGAAGTCTTAAAACCCCTACCTATTTTTAAGGGTCATTAAAGCCCATTATTTCGAAATTTTCCGGAATTTGTTTAACATTTTGAAAAAAAACGGACCCATGTTTAGGGGTATTTTTTTAAATCAAAAATGGAATCCATGATTAGGGATTTTTTGTGAAAAAGTTACCCATTAGAGCGGCAAACCCCTAATATGTCTTAATATGTGAGTACCTCCCCCGGATCAGATCTCTCTATCTATCAGCAGTAATCATTAAGGTGTTTTTTATTCCGTAAATTGAGAGAGACCATTTGACATGAATGCAAACTAAAATACGCCTTGTGGTGTAACATTAAATTGTTATGTAACAAATTGTTCGACAGGTACTGCAAAAAAAAAGATCGTCCTCTATTCATACAAAATGTATATAACTTTGCATCATCAAAGACTCTTGTTTGTATTCATCGCTGAAATTCCTAACCCACTAATGGCGTAACCCCCAAAGGTCATAATGATGACGACGTTGATGAAGACAGTGGTGATGGCGCTGTTTATGGTGATTATGGTACTGAGGATGACTATGATGATGATAGTGTGGTGGTGATGACGGGTGATGACGATGAATACAATGATGATGAAACAATCGATGATTATCCTCTCCCTCTTTTCCGTAGATCGTGGTCAATGCCGTGGTCCACGCCATTCCGTCGATCGCCAACGTCCTGCTCGTCTGTGCCATGATCTGGCTCATCTTCTCCATCATGGGCGTCCTCTTCTTCAAGGGTGTCTTCGACCGATGCGTCGATGAGTTCGGCGATCGACTTCTCCACACCATCGTCAACAACAAGTCCGAGTGTCTGGAGAAAAACTACTCCTGGGAGACGCCGCCGATCAACTTCAATAACGTTGGTCTAGGTTATGTGGCGCTCTTTCAAGTGGTGAGTACGAGGGTTTAGATCGAGGATTCTGTAAAAGGGAGGAGGGAGGGGGATACCGATTTATACCTGACAAGCAAAGTATTATGTATACACAGCGAATGTCAGATTGAATTTGAATGGGGGACAAGGCCCGTAGATGACCAATGAGAGGCCGCGTTTGCAAGGGACGAACAGGATTTTCAGAGAAGCATCATTTGAGGAAAATTTGTTTTAAACGGAGTAAAAAACATTATTAATCTGAACAAAAATGCTCCACTGATGGCCTGTATTGTAGCGTTTGTGGAAATGATGAGTAGAATGATTAGAAATAAACAGGTATTACTGAATATGGTCATTTTTTAATTACCCCCTTTCTCCTGTTTTTCATCTCTCTCTCTCTCTCTCTCTCTCTCTCTCTTTCTTTCTCTCTCTCTACTCAGACGACGTTCGAGGGTTGGATGGAGGCTATGGCAGCCGCCGTAGATTCGAGGGGATCACGTGAGGTATGTTTATATATTTCATATTATTTGATAACTCGTATGAGGCTATAAAAATGCACAAATGTACTTGTACATAGTTTTCTCAAACTTACGAAAGAAATACTGCTACATTAATTTCCGTAATGGCTCTACGACGAGCAATGTCTTGATATTTTGTTTCTGTCATTAGTCACAAAACACTTTTTCATAAATTAGAGTAACCATTCAAAATAATGAGATAAATATCTTTAAAAATGCAAAATACGATCATGGCCCGAACTGTTCATCCCTTAAAAGATTGGTATGCATGCATACGATATACATAAGATATACCAGAGTTAACCTGAAATTTCCAACTAAAATAATGAGAATGGGCTTCATAAAATGGGCTTCTTTTGTCATGTATAAAATTTGCAATGATATGTTTGTTATAGTTTTGTCCAACTGCAAAAGAAAGAGAAAATCAAACAGAAATAAATAAATCAAATCAAATCAAATCGGAATCAGTATAAGTGACCTTTATAATTGAAAACATTCTTTAACATTTGTTATTCTTATGTCTGATCTTTTACAGGAGAACTTGCAGCCTATCAAGGACAATCGGTTCTATTACTACGTCTACTTTGTGATTCTGATTGTCTTCGGATCCTTCTTTCTCCTCAATCTCTTCATCGGAGTCATCATTGATAACTTCAACGCCCTCAAACGCAAGGTATGCAATTAGATAAGTTAACCCAGGGGCGTCATGGTCTTAACCAGGGGGTGGTTCACAAAGACTAAGATCGACTTTAGGTTAAACTTAACTATGGCAGGCCGTTCGTACCACTGTTTGCCCTCCCCATTTACTGGCATCGGACTCTCAAGGACCGTACATTATTGATGGTCACAAATCTACAGAATTTACATTTTTGATAATTCATTATTGAAGGAAAAAAATATTATCTAAAGATCATAATGGTGAGAACAGACAGGCATGAACGGCCTGTCGATCTTAGTCTTTTTGAAACACCCCCTGATATTGTGTTTCAAAGGGAGGGGGGGGGGGTAGAAAAGGCGGTTATATACGGGGAGGTACAAATGCTCGAAAAACACGAGAATCCACAATGTTCGCGGTACCTGGGTGTCTTGATCTGCCTTTTGGTCAGTTTCAATATGGCGTTACAACGGGACGAACGTAAGCGTGGATACACATCGTTATATCTGTTGACTATTTTTTACGAAATTTATTCATTTTCTCTTGCAGTACGAAGGGGATAGCTCAATGGATATGCTTCTTAGCACCAGTCAGAAGCAATATTATCAGACTATGAGACGAATGGGAGTCAAGAAACCTACTAAGCAGATCAAACAGCCAACGGTAAGACTATTGTTCTTTTTAAAGGTTGTAGGTGAAAGGTGGAATCGGGGTCACTTGAGGTCATATTGGTGTCATTAGAGGTCATGGGTGAACAGACTTTGTATTTGGGTTTTTCTACACAGTGTGATGGGTTTTGATGTGACCTGATGAAGTGGTGATTGGGTATAAATGTATCATTACTCTTCTTCAGTCATGGTAGGTCATAGGTCATAATGTCATAGGTCATTTTGGAGTCATTGTTTGAGGCCGTACAAAACTTTGCTTTCGTCGTGTCACATATTGGTATAACGGGTGTTTTGTGAGGAAAAGGGTTTAACCCTATTTTAATTGGACTTTTGGGGAGAAAAGTTTTACTTGGGGAGGGGGGTGGGGTGGCAAATGACTACTTCCTCACCCTCCTGAGATCGTCCATGGAAGGTCTGATCACATGGAAATTCAAGTAAAGCTGCGTATTTTTTATTTTTCTACTTTTTAATGTATTGTAATTTATGCAGATTAGATGCCAATTTACACATTTAGTGCTATGAAAACTTAAGGTCAATGTGTTCCAGTGTGTTTCAATGTGTAACAACTATGCTGCATTGGTAATCTTACAAGCTGTTCCAATACCTTATTAGTTTATTATGAGATGCATACGAACGTTTTCCCGTGATTTCGTGTGATTTACTGTATTTTCCCGTGTTTTTGATCGTGTATTTGTCTTTGCTTTATGCTACCTTTTGATTGTGCATTTCCGATATACAGGCAGGAGTAAGTATATTTGCAATGTAGAACTTTGTCACGAATGTTGTGCCTTTGTGGATTATTTTGCACATTTTCCCCACGTCAATTTCTTTCCTATGATTTTACAACATTTTCGATGTCTTAGTTTTTTTGAATTTCGAAAAAATGAAATTCGATCGTTTTTTTCTGTCTGTTGAACGTTATCTTAGTCACGGGCCCACTATTCCGAGTTTTGTTGGAGTAGTAACTTGTCAATTTATTACAATAACTTTAAATGTATATTACACAGTTCCTAAACAAATAACAAACATAACAAAATTAAAAGAACTAAAAAAGGTAATTACTCAAAGCGCTGAATGAAGGCTTAAGATGAAGATTATAACATTTTTACTTTGTGCATGCATGTCAATGAATTCCAAGATTTTATGATTTATTCCTGTCGAATGCTGCTTATCAATTCGCCCTTAATAATTTTTCGAATCATATTTGGCGCCTGAAAGAATTTACTTCTCTTTCTTACTTACACTTGATAATGAGCTTAATGACTCACAATAATTCCAATGAGGATTTAAATTGATAATGCACTTATAGATAGATACATTTGATTTTGAAGTTTTAATATTTAAGTTCTATTGTTCTTGTTGTCGCACTAACGTCGTACTTTAGTCATTCCGCCGAGCCGACGCTAAACCGTTTCCATATTGATCTATTTTTGGTCATTTGGGGGTAATGTCATATTTTAGTCGGTCAATTGCGGTCTGGGGTCGGTCTCGACGGTGTGAATAAAGTATTAACGAGTACTTCACATTGAATACCAAATACATCTTAATAAAACTATAACAACAGCAACAATCATACAAAACACTTTGTATTGTACTTTTATAGTTTTATAGAAAAAAATATTGAAATAGGGTTTCGTGCTGAAGTACAACTAGACTAAATCCACATCGTATTTGTACCTGTTTTTATAATTCAAGTATCTATAACTCAGTTCCAATAATTTATTTAAGTTACTCAAATGATTTCATTTGATTTGCTAAGAACAAATTGTCATTGATTTATGTAAGTTGTTTTAAAGCGTATCTGCCATAGTTTACAGGAGGGATTAGACAGCCCTGCAAGGTCACTGGACAGGTGGTTATCTCATCAACTCAGCTCTCAGTTAACATAAGAAAAAGAGGATCATGGGGTACCAATGGTCACCGATTAGGCATGGTTTGTTATATAGAGGGCGCAAGTAGCTACAAGTAGTGCAGTGGGCCTTTAAGAAACAGGGCCCAGATCAGGTTCATCTAAAGTCCAATTCACTCCAAATCATTCTAATTCTAATTCACTACTTGCAATTCTTTGATTGCTCATTATGTTTCGCTACTGGAACCCGATTATAATACCCCTTTGACTCTTCATCTCTCTCTGCAGAACAAGATCCAGAATTTCTTCTACCGCTTGACCACGAGCAACAAGTTCGAGCTCGTCATCGTGACCGTCATCGTGATGAACATGATTTTGATGATGATTGACCATTACGGGATGTCTCAGGAGCTCACCGACATCACTGCCAAGTTCAACATCGTCTTCACGTCGATCTTCGTCTGCGAGGCCGTCCTCAAGCTCATCGGTTACAGCTGGTATTACTTCAAGATTCCTTGGAATGTCTTTGACATTATTGTGGTGATCTTCTCCGTGCTCGGTGAGTTTGCGTCAAGGACAGACCCAGGAGGGCAAGGGGGGAATGGGGGATGGGGGGGGGGGGGGGAGAAAAGCGCACAATCCCAACATTTTCTCACAACTCAAAAGGGAAACAAAAATAAAAGCAAAGAACGTTTTCATCCTTTGAGGGGCCAATCTCTGACAATAAATAAAGTTGTGAGATTTGTTACCGGTGCCGTTGGGTTGAAGCTATGAAAGGATGTTACAAGAACATAATTAAAGGGAAGGGGCTCGTTTTTCTTAAGGTATGCCACATTAGTATATAAAAGGCACTATATAAAGTGCACTAAACAGTTTAAGCTCTACCCTGTAATCTAGATTGCGTCTCTTAACATTTTAAGGAATTATTGTTTAGTATTTGGCTTCACCTGTGCAAGGAAGGCAAAAGGCGAACGGAATCTCTGTAAACCTTGGGTCTCTCCTCCCGATTGAATGATTTTTTGCTCATTAACCTTTGACTCGGAGCCCTAAAACATAATATTTCTTAACCATTTAATTGCAGGACTGGATACGTGTCCTCCTGTTTTAATGGCTACGCCTCTGCTTTCAGATCACATCAACTGAGCATGATTTTCTATTCATTTTCTTCTTTGCAGGTATCGTGTTAGATGACGTCTTAAACAGCGTCTTCATCAATCCCACACTGTTGAGAGTCTTGAGGTTGTTCAGGATCGGTCGAGTCCTCCGCCTCGTGAAGCAGGCTAAAGGCATTCGGAAGCTCCTCTTCGCCCTTGTCATATCTTTGCCAGCCCTTCTTAACATCGGCATCCTTCTCCTTCTCGTCATCTTCGTCTTCTCCATCATCGGCATGTCGCAGTTCGGGCACATCAAGCTCGACGGCGCTTTGGATAAAACCACCAATTTCCAGACATGGGTGAACAGCGCGTTGCTGCTCTTTCGCCTGTCCACCTCGGCTGGGTGGAATGATGTCTTAGACCCGATGATGATTCAGGAGCCAGACTGTGACCCTAATTTCGAAGGGCTCCCTAACGGAAACTGCGGTGGGTTCTACATACCCATATTTTTCTCCACAGTATATCTAGTTATTACATTCCTTGTGGTGATCAATACGTACATTGCAGTCATCCTGGAAAATTTCAGTCAAGCCCACGCTCAAGAGGAAGTGGGAATTACTGAAGACGATTTTGGTATGTTCTACCAAATTTGGGAGAAGTACGACCCCTCTGCGTCGCAGTTTATAAAGTATGAACAACTAAGTGAGTTTTGTGACGCTTTGGAGCTGCCCTTACGCCTCGCCAGACCAAACCGAATAAAGATTGCGGCGTTAGATATGCCTATATATGATGGTTTCAGATTACATTGTCTAGATGTCCTGTTTGCGTTGACGAAACGGGTGTTAGCCGATGTGGAGGAGTCGGAGGATTTCACTGAACTCCAGAAACAGATGGCGGAGAAGTTCGCCGAGAGCTTCCCCGACCGCGAGCAGAACCAACCAACAACGACGACAATGAAAATCAATAAAATGAGCCAAGCGGCGAAGATCGTGCAGCGAGCGTACCGGTTCTTCAGGTTGCGACGAGAAATCAGCAAGGCGGCTTCAGCCAACCGGGCCAGTCAGGCCAGCGCCGCCAATTCGCGGAGGAATTCAGTGACACACGAACCAGCGAGGCTCAACCTGGACGTAAGCCATGGCAGCTCGCTAGGGCCTGCTATGGAACTTCCGGGACAGCTGGGTTTGTCCAGGAGTGCCACGCCTATGATTCCCGAGGAGAACTTGGATAACTCTGCCACGCACAATAAAGCAGAGAAATATCAGTTGGAGGAGCAAGGTAGTGAGATCCAGACCATTGATGCATCCGTTGATATTGTCGGGAGCCAAAATACAAATGAAGATAGCACAACACAAGTATGACAGCACTGATGAGGGCGCTGTCGTGTCATGTAGGTAAGAGAGGACTAATGAACACTGTAATATCCTCACGGACACATATCCGCTAGTCATCTTACATTTTGGTCATGCCAGCTGATTATGAATGCAGAAAACAAAGTGCTTTATTTTTTCAGAAACAGGAAAAGAGTGGTTTATAAATGTTTTTCTGTCTTGACTCATATCATGATATCTGGACAGGACAAACAATAGATTGTAGTCTTTTTTTTTAAATGATGATTTTTTTTTCTCCCCTGATAATTTAATGCCAAAGTGCCTCTAATTTCATATGATCGATATACATTTCTGTTAAATCTAGATCATTAGAGGTTTTTAGAATTTCTCTTGGGCAGGGACGCCGCCAGAAGGAGATAGTTAAGAGTAAGACACCCGCATTCAAAATGTTACTGTCGGCAAATTTTGAACTGTTCGAAACTGTTGGCAAATTGAAAAGAACATGATGACCTTTTCTGTTTTGTTGTTGGACAATTAACAAATCGGCAAGCTTATTCCGACACCTCCAATGAAATTGGTCTATTGCCCCCCCCCCCCATTCCTGGACCAGCAGACCAAAACATTGTCATAGCAAGCTTTAAGTATGCTAGTTGCATAGATTTGAAATAATAATAAAATATTTATGAGCGAAAATGGTTTAGAGCTTAACGCGGCATGAACAGAATTATATAATGTTTAGATTAACCGCAATGAATTGAAGATTTGTTAACAATTATTTTGAGATGATAATGAAAGAGTGATTTTGAGGAGGGAATAATGAAGAAATTTGAAAGCTTAAGGAAATGTAATTCCAAATTAAACATTTAAAATCATGATTCTTGATACCCATGATAAAGGGTTTAAAAGAGTCAGAAACAGTTAATTACCAAAATGCAAGTCAGTGTCTGCGTCACTACAAGTTTGCTCCATATCAAGCGCGGGGGGGGGGGGTGTAATAGAGAAAACTTTGAATGAACTATTATCATGTCGACAGACACCAATTGGACGAAATGACAAGTTATTAAATCTATATTTTCATTTTAAATTACATTTCATGCGAGCCGACTTTGAATGTAAGAAAAGAATTATGATATTGTGCAATAAGTTATCATATGAAAACTGTTTACATTCTTGCAAAAATTCCGAAAGCTCTTTTTTTCGAAAGTCAACAGTATCAAATAATCATTCATTGATACTATTCACCAGTGCCTTATTTTGAATGTATTTAAAGTAGTGTACTTTTACCTTTTTATTTCGAACACAATGTAGCAGATGAATAGTATAATATTTTGTTTTAATCGTTAGTACGTTAATACTTAATTCATTGTTTTGATGAAGGCTGATTGTTTTACCGTTGCACTTAGTTGATTCATGAATAACCACGGTTTCATCTGATCGATTTGTATTAAGAAAAAGACCTTGCGTCTTCTTTTGAAAGCTATATATTGTTTCCTTTTCAAGTTCATAGTTCATTGCCAGGTTTTGTACATTTTTGATATTTTTAAAGATTTTTAGGATCTGCTTTTGAAATGCAAGTTGAGAAGTGGACTAAAGATATGATAGTCTCTGTCATAAATAAGAGAACTATGCAAAATATAATATGTCTATTTCACGAAATAATAATTATGCTCAATGGCGCGAACTTATTTATGACGGTTTTCCACGCATGGACTGGAGACCGTTTCACATTTTTTTGTTCATTTTTGAAATGTAATGTCAATGCTGACGACGATGTCGATGACGGCTACGACGATAATTGAGAATGCTGCCACATTCACATTAGTCGTGCATAGATTTGTATATTATATGTAGGAACGAGAAAAGTATTTTGTGTTTATTTGAGAACAAGAAGAGTTTATGTTTTCGTATGGATGCTAATAAATTTACATGATAATTTGTACAAAAATAAATTGATTCTTGTTTTTGTTTTGTTAATTACTCCGAATTCTTACATTGTAGCCAACTACCGTGCGTGAATAATGATTGTTGTGATGATGATGATGATGATGAAAACAACAACAATAATGATAATTATAAGAAGAAGACGAAGAAGAAGTAGGAGGAGGAGGAGGAGGCGGAGGAGGAAGAGGAAGATGAGAAAAAGAAGAAGAACAAGAAGGAGAAGAAGAAAAGGAGGACGTGTAATGATAATGATGATGATGAGAATAATAATAATGATTTTAATAAAACAGCGGAGGGCCACTTTAAATTAGGTCAGTTCATGTGTGTAGCTTGACGACAATTATTCATGGTAACCAATGATTTTGGTAAATATTCGATGAAAGAAAGCTGTACAATTTTCAGTTCATTTTAAATTACTTCGTATGCAAAGAGCCTATTTACAATGTTACTATATGAATGTGCATTAGCTTTATGAAGCTACTTCGGATGAGAGGTAAAGAATGCAGATTCTATTGAGAAATATGTGGAGTCGAATAAGTAGCAAAATCGAAAGACGGCATATTAGACAGTAGGTGAAGTGGACAAAGAGTGGGGGTGAGGGAGACATGGAGAGAGAGAGAGAGAGAGAGAAAGAGAGAGAGAGAGAGATAAGAGAGGTAGAGAGAGAAAGAGAGAGAGAAGAGAAGAGAGAAGAGAAGAGAATGAGGGAGAGAGAGAGAGAGAGAGAGAGGGATAAGGGAGAGGAGAGATAAACCGGTCCGTTACACATAATGAACACAATTAATTAGACGCTCTGTTTCTAGTTTTACCCTTCCGCCACCCCAAAAATTGTATATTCATTTTGTAATGTGTGAAGGCCTAATGATGGAAACAGGACTACATCGTACACGTTCGTACGGAATGGTTGTTTACTCACCCATGCAGCGCTGTTGCTAGGAAGGTATACATACATGATTGATTAGTATGCAATTAGTGCAAATTAAAGCATTTATATTATCAAGTAAGGATATCGGGGAAGGGAAGGGGTTGTGGATATGATGAATATCATATTAGTCCTCCATAAAGGAATGACCCCTCTGTCATATATTTGGGGTGGGGGGAATTATTTTTGTTATCTTGTCTGTTGAAACAAAAATCAAGTTGTCCGGCACTACGTCACAGTGACATTAGTGATTCTGCCAATTTGATTTGGCCATACCTTTGCCAAATTACAACTTTAACAAATTCATGACTTTCTGTGTTTCGGATTTCATTATAGCTCTCACAAGTCTGTTTTTTCTGATTTTCCTGCTTTCTTTTAGAGTAGTTGTCCATTAAGGTTGCATTTTCCTACATTGTCTACTTTTACAATCGGCACTTATTTAGTGGCATGTTAATAAATATGTCATTCATTCTTTACCAATGTAGCCCTAACATTTTTCAAAGATAGTGAAAATACTGCTGTCAAAGCATGAGGTCTACTCCAACGTATATTTGCATCCATTAAGAAGACTATTCACATTAACACGCCATCCGACTCTCGAAAGCAATTTCGAGGTGTCATGGCAAAGTGGTTCAGTGGAGGTGTCGTGGTATAGATGTCTATTCACTTGACTCTCAATTCAAGGGTTGAGGGTTCGAATCTCAGCCCGGCGCTAACGTTCTGTGACATGATATTAATCGACATTTTCCACGCTTTACCGAGATGTAAATGGGTACCTGGCAATTGTTGGGTATTAAAGGGGGTGTATCATGGCAAATACTGGTTAACGCCGTCTACGTCTTCTTTTGGACAACTGCACGTAAACGAATGGACTTGATTAACTGGGTCAGTGCGCGCTAAACTGGGTCAGTGCGCGCTAGCGTTGGCGAAACAGACCGAAGTTCTCCTCACGCTTCGGTTTCGCATGTGTTGTACGCACGCGAATGCTGCGGTCGCGTCGTCCGTAGTCGTATTATACCAGATTGACCCCGGATAGCGTTATTTTCTTCTGCGGCACAGATTGGGGCTTTAGAAAAAAAAGAGGTCTTGATTTAACCCTAACCCTAACCTTAAACCCTAACTCTAAACTTTCCCATATGCTCAACACGCACCTAACCCCAATCTGTGCCGTAGACAAAATAACGCCCCCGGGTAGGGCCATTGGAAAGACACATAGTCTCGTCAAGACACACTCCCTTTAATAATCGCGAGGCACTCATGAAGAACAGCACTTTTGATGATGAGGCTTCCCTGGATATAAAACAAAATGGTAACTGTTATGATTTAAAGAATAAAAAGTGGCGATGTGGGGATACCGGATCGTCGCCTGACCCTCATGAGTGCCGTTATGTACGTGGGTAAGTCCTGCCTTTTTTTTTTTTTTTTTTTTTTTTTTTTTGGGGGGGGGGGGGGGGCGGGAATGCGTTTTGCCCCCACTTTTTTGGTTGGGGGGGGGGCGACCACCCCCTGCCCCCCGGCCTCCCCCCACCCGCGGCGCACAGAACGGTGGAACGGTGCTTCGCGCAATCTTTTGGTTATCTGTGCGTAGTAAATTTTACATCAGTGTGAAAGCGGAGGCAACCGGTCGTAAAGCTGATGCAAGAAAAGTGCTAGAGATGGCGGGCGCACCTAGTTGAAATCCAAAAATTGACATAGGTTATTTTGATGACGATGTCCACCAAAATGCATTAGATTGCTCCGAACGAACTAAAATATCTGACTTCTGATAAATCTGAAAATCACAATCGATACACGACTGGATATCAACATTTCATACGAATCGGAATACTCTCCACATAGCAGTCAAAGGTGAAAACTACGTTCCTGTGTAGAACCTGGAAGATACATCCATTATGGAAATGTAAGTATATATGAAGTCTACAAAATTATTACTCATGATGGCGATAAATATAAGGAGAATCAAATTAATATTATGTGTTTTCATCATTTTTCATTTATTTGTTTACAAGAAATTAAATCAATTTCAAATTAAGTGAACTGCATGAAAAGCACGTAGATTTCCCAAATTATTATTTTGATCATGATATTTACAAGGCTTAAACTATTATTATAATTCGTTTTGTATTCATATTACTTATTCGTTTTGTCAAATCAGATGGTGAAAAAGACAGGTTTTTTTTTCTTTACGGGAGAACATCGAATATGTGCTTTCCATAATGTATCATGGACACAAAAGTAGAATTTGTCAATAAAACGGAAAGGGGATATTTCCTGTAATTTGGGTCACACAGAAATATGAAAATATGACTAAATTGCCCATGCGTGAATTCCCATATCATAAGTTATCTCACTAGCATGCACGACCACAGTCATGTGTAACAAAATCAAAAACTTTCCCGAGTTTTAAGGAATACTTTTCTGATTTTGTCTGCTTCTACCGAACCTAACTTTCCAAACAAGGATTGATTCCCAATCAAGTCATAACACACACAGGAGATCTGGCGTTGTTAATCTTAACCCAATATTTCAATCATCAAAATAATGTATGGGCCTTTGCAAGAGCGGTTTCAATCTTATAGGAATCAGTAATGCAATTCGAGCGTGAGAAACCAATTTAAATTTGTAAGGAATTTAAAGACAAATAAACACATTCTTTCTGCTTATGTCTTATTTTCAATCAGGGTAAAAGAGACCGACAAAGATCTTGCTGATCTCGACTCCGCCAATGCAGTCCTGGTCGACTACAGTGGTGTGACAACCGCCCATGGCATACCGCGAATCATCACCTCTAAATCGGTGAAGTCGAGGCTCTTTTGGAGTTTCGTAACTCTTATCGCTTCGGGAGCGTTCCTGTGGCAAGGAAGCCTACTGCTCCTCGACTTTAATAAACACCCTTACACGACGCAGATCAACGTGGTCGCCCGGACAGAGCTTCAGTTTCCTGCAGTTACCGTATGCAACATCAACATGATGAGACGCTCTGCCATGATCAACACTCGCTTCGAAAGCCTGATCCAAACCGATGACAATGCGATCGAAGGTGACGCTGACTACGCCACCTGGTGGTTTGACATGCCAACGGATGAAACATCAGCATCGGCTTCTGGTCTTGTTACCGGATCTGGGAGTGACTCGAGCGGGGACGCGACAACGGACGGTTCCAGCACGTACTCGATGACCAACTTCACTGAGATACCCGACGAAAACAACGCAACCAATGTACTATCAAGTCCTCCAACTGTAATTCCCCCTATAGCAACTGATGCAGACCTTGATGCAGCAACATCAAATGCGGAGACTGCTACGGCTACTACTGCTACTGACACTCGGGAAAACTTTAGCGAGTACGAGTGGTGGGATCCGGGTTGGGACACCGACGATTTCGACTACCAGGAATACGACTGGACAAATGTGAGTCATGATTACGACTGGGAAGGGTTCTACAAACAATCCACAGCAGATGACTTCAGTGATCTTCTCGAAGCTGTCCACCCGACAAGGGAAGAACTGAAGGTGATGGGACACCAGGCGGAAGATTTCTTACTCCAGTGTACCTTCGATAGACGCAGGTGTACATACAAGTAAGAATTATGCACCCCCTTACTTATGTAACTACCAACTACTTCCCATTACCTGTTTCAGATAGTTTTTTTTAATAAAAATCTATTTGTCTTCTCAGATTACGATCTGGTATCACTTTATACGTGTTTATATACTCTCGTGACAACAGAGGCGGCGGAGCGAATTTCAAAGTGGGAGGGCACCAACAAAAAGGGGCACTTTCTGGGGAAAAAGGGCACCTTCAAAGGGAAATCTCAAAGTGAACATTTACAATTGTTTAGACATTTGTATATACCTCTATATTGTGATTACATTATCAGGGATGATTTCTCTTTTTCATCATATAAGATATTGCTTAAGCATTATACTTTGCAGTTGGGTGTGATGGTCTGAAAATTCATTTATGAGCGACTAAAGCGAGCGAGAAAATTTTTAAAGAGTTGTGATGGGGTTATAAGCACATTTTCATAACGGAAGACTGAAAAGACCTTTGATAAGTAATACAATTATAACATCAAATGCATGCGAGCGAGCGTAGCGAGCGAGCTTTGAGGGAAATTCTTCTTAATCGCTTGAAATTAGGGGTACGTTTAATGATGAGAAAACCCATCAGATTTTGATAGGGACATTTATAAGAAATGAAAAGGGGCATTTATGAAAAAGGGATAGGTTCCTTATTAGAAAGGAAAAGGGTTACGTATCATTGTTTAAAAAGTAATTGTCATAAGTGAAAAGGGGCACTGACCATATATGAAAAGATGCACTTATGAGAATGAAAGGGGGGCACTTATAATAAAGGGAAATGAGCCTTTGTTGAAAGAAAAGGGGCACCGACCAGAATTGAATAGGGTCATTTACAAAAGATGAAAGGGCACTTATGAGAATGAAAAGGCGCATTTATGAGAAGGGGAAGGGCCTTTTATTTAAATGGGGGCACTTATCATAAGGAAAATGGGCACTTATTAGAAAGGAAAGGGGCACAATCTTAGGAAAATATAAGATGCGCTTTTCCGAGTTAATAAGAGGTAGTTATTAAAAGGGGTAGGGGCACTTCTACGAAGGACAAGGGGCACTTGTCAAAGCAAAAGGGGGCACCTCTCATATGTGAATAGGGCAATCACCAGAGGTAAAGGGGCGCTTCTCATACCTGAAAAGGGGCACTTACTAGAGATAAATAAGGGCACTTAGGAGAATAGAAATTGGACACTTTTTGCAAAGGAAAATGGGAACTTGTCGAAGGAAAAGGGGTACGTGTCAAAATAAAAGTGGCACTTATCAGAGTTGGAAAGGGGAAGGGGCACTTTATAAATTAATAGGGGCATTTTTAAGTAAAAGGGGCACTTTTCCTATATAAAAAGGGGCACTTCTTACAAAGTTAAAGGGGCACTTTTCCTATGTAAAAAAGGGCACTTTTGGGGTACTTGATAAAGTGGGAGGGCACTATGCCCGCCCCCCTGCCCCCCGGGAGCGCCGCCTCTGATCATAAATGTATGTTTCTCTCAGGCAATTTTTTTGCTCTGTATCAAAAGTATATTTCCATTTCTAAAGCTCCCTCTTTCTCATTCTTTACTTGGTCAATTACAGTCCACCCAAAATTTTGTATGGCTTTTATCAGTGTTAATTATGCCCATCAGTGATATTTGAAAGTGTGCCTTTCTCCTGTCTATCCCTCCAAAATACCATCTATTTAATCTTTCCACTTCTCTTGTATATTTTACCGTGCGACAATAGCTTTTTATTGGGTTATTATCTTTTAAATTACATCCATACGACGTATCTTTACAAAGGCAGTGGCGGATTCAAAAAAGAGGGGAAGAGGGGGAAGGGGGGGGGGGAAGAAAAAGGGAGAAAATGAGAAAAAGGAAGGGGAAAGAAAAAGGAGGGGAAAGAAAAAGGAGGGGAAATGGAAAGAAAAGGGAAGAGAGAAAGATGAAGAAAAGAGGGAGGAGAGAAAAGGGGAGAGGAGAAAAAGGAGGGGGAAAGGAAGAAAGGGGGAGAGAGAGGAGAGAAAAGACGTAAAAGGAAGAAAGGGGGAAAGACGGAAGAGAGAAAAGGTGGGAAAAAAGGGAATAATGAGAAGGGAAAAGAAAGAAAGGGGGATGATATTATAAGAAGGCGTTTTTTTTTTTTTTTTTTTTTTTTTTTTACCGGGAACGCAATTTTGTAGTGTGCATAATATGGGATCCTGCCAGGCGTATGGTCCCCCCCAAAAAACATACAAAAACACAAAAAGAACCAAAAAAAAAAAAAAGAGATGGAAAAAAGTGGGAAAGAGATAATTTGTGTGAGTAAAAGGGGAAAGGAACAAAATGAAAGAGAATTAAACAACGATAGAAGAGAGGTGCGAGAGCATTAGTAATTGTATTTTTTTAAAAAGAATAATTGGACAACAACCAGTGCCGTCGCTAAAGGTGCGGGTGGGGTGCAACAACCCCTACCTGTCAGGATATTGTCGGTAAAATTGCGCTGCTGTCGGGAAAAATGAGAAAAGGGGGAGGGAAAAATGAGAGGAAAAAAGAAAGAAAAGAAAAAAAGAAAAGGAAAAGAAAGGAAAGAAAAAGGAAAGAAAGGAAAGGAAAGAGAAGAAGGAAAGAAAGAGAAAAAAGAAAAAAGGTGAAAGAGAGGAAAGAAAGAAAAAGAAAGAAAAGAAAGAAAGGAAAAAAGAAGAAAAAAAGAAGAGAAAAAAAGAAGCAAAAGAAACGGGAGATGAAAGAGAGGAGAGAGACGGGGAAAGAGCCTGAGAGAAGAGGGTTGGGAGTAAGAGAGAGAGAGGGGATGTTGGGTGGGGTTACTACGTCGAGGGGGTAGAAAGATACGCATGGATAATTATGTTGGTGTGTCGGGTCCGCTGTGTCGGTATTCTTGCTCTATCATCATGTACTATATCAATGCAGAAGTTTGAAGTCGGTGAGATGTATTATGTCGGTCGACCGGCAATTTTATTATATTATATTTTTTTAGGGTCGGTACAACGAATCGTCCTTTGCCTCTTATAATTTAATTAAACGCCTAAGCTTCCGAGCTTTGCGCGGGAGGGGGGGGGGGAAACTGAATTCAGACAAGTATTAAGAGTCGAAAACAGTACAACGAATCGTCTTCTTTCTCTACTAATTTAATGAAATGTGGAGGCTTCGGGGGGGGGGGGACTTAATTTAGACAAGGATTAAGAGTCGAGAACGATACAACGAATCGTCTTCTTTTTCTAATAATTTAATGAAACATGAAAACTTCCACGCTTCGCGTCAGAATAGGATTTAGAGTCGTGAACGGTACAACAAATCATCTTCTTTCTCTAATAATTTAATGAGACGTCAAGCGGGAGGGGAGAACTGAATTCAGACCAGGATTAAGAGTCGAAATCAGTTCAACGAATCGTCTTCTTTCTCTACTAATTTAATGAAACGTCAAAGCTTCATTTTTACTTTGCTGTTGCTCACAATGAGGTGAAATTAAAATTAATGTGTCACAACTAGCAAAAAGAGAGAATCAATTGTGATGGTTGTGCATTATGTTTTGAAATCAAATAATGTTTTGCGGTTGGAAGAAGATTAGCAAAAAGGAACTTTTTCTAAACGAAAGTTTGATTTGTTTGCTTATGGGTTCATGGCTGTTTATTTGATGAACTTCTAATGGCTTCCTGCAAAGAACATTGGAAATGTAAATACTGAAAATATACTCTAAAGAAATACAACCTTGCGATGGAGAGAGTTTGGTTATTCTCATCAATGTACTCTTATAACCGACATTATGTCCTGGGATCTATTCTATTACATATTAAGGCAAACAGTGTAAATAGAAATATTGTATAACCGTCAGAGTATTGGATCTTTAATCATTTCCATTGAATCCACTATCATTCACAAATGATATGATTCATAGAATACCTTTAAAAAGGGAAATTTTCACTGAACTGCAAACCTGTCAAAATGAAATCATTATTTCTCAGGATTGGTAACAAATAAAAACGAGATGAGAAAGAATGAACGCCATAACGACCAGAAGTGCAATGCATCGTGCACGACATACATATATCATCATTATCCATACAATGAGCCATGGCATGAACACCGCTATTAGCATAATTGTTAAAAACCGAATTGAATTATACTTACTATGATTAGGATAAGTAGGTGATCATAAGCTGACAAATGCACTGTTAAGAAACAGAAATTACATAAAAATGTATGAATATTGATGTTTATCAATTATTCAAAAACAATTTCCGCCATTCCAGGCCAATATGTATTGCAAAAAAATGCAACCAAACAAAAACAGAGGACAGAAATAGAAAGAAAATGGACTCCATAGTTTACGGCGTCACTATATCATTAAAACAAATAATTAAAAATGACAATATTGAAGCTCGATTCATCTGAAAGCTTAAACTAATATCAGATATCAAATTTTTCATTTATGAATAGACATGCAATTAATCTGATAAAACAAGAAAGAAAGAAAGAAAGAAAAAATGGCCTCCAAAACTGCTTAAATGAAATCATTATTTCTCAGCATTGGTAACAAAAAGAAACAAGATGAAAAAGAATGAACGCCATGGCGACCAGAAGTGCAATACATAGTACACGCCATCATCATTACCCATGCAATGAGCCATGGCATGAAAACCGCCAATTAGTATAATTGTTGAAAACCGAATTGAATTCTACTTACTATGATTAGGATAAGTAGTTGATCATAAACCGATGAATGCAGTGTTGAGAAAGCAGTGGCGGATCCAGGGGGGGGGGGGGCCCGGGGCCCCGGCCCCCCCCCCTTGAGAAAAAAATCATGTAAAATCACGTGATTTTTACCTTTTTTGGGGGTGCAAATTGAAATTTTTTTGAGGATCAAAAAAAAAAATGTGCTCACTACCCCCCCTCCCCCCCCCCTCCCACTGAGCGAATTTTGGCCGGCGCGTTTTTCAAATTTTCGGGAGCAAAAAAAAAAAAACAGTTGGGCCCCCTCCCCTAAGAAATCCTGGATCCGCGCCTGTGAGAAAGAACAATT